GTGTAGCAGGATCTGTTGCCTTTGCAGTGGGAGTCTGGAGAAGGCGTTGTTTGGATTTAAACATCTCCTGGGCTCCCTTCTTACACCTCTGAAAGTGGCCAGCAATGAGCCCAGATCTAAATTGAACACCTGTGGGAAATTGCTGTTGGGAAAAGGTGACCAATAAGAGAGACCTGGAGCTTGTTTGCAAAGGAAGAGTGGTCCAAAATTCGGGTGAGAGGTGTAAAGCATCTCCTGGGCTCCCTTCTTATGTTTTCCAAAGGGTGTGCAACCTAAGTTAAGGTGCCCATCCCATTTTTGGGGTTTTGTGAGACATTACTGTCAAATTTAGCTTTTCTGCCCTGGTTTTATATTTGTTCCAATACATAACGAAAGACTAAACGTGTAAAGCAAAACATGTGTTAATGCAATACCTTTTTTTGTGTGCCAGGAAAAATAAGAGAGAATGATATCACATCACCTTTAACTGTCACAATGTTAGACAGGAGTGCTTGCAGGGAGTCTTGGAGAAGCTTGTTTGGTGATTTAAACATCCCTGCTCCCTTCTTACACCTTCCCAAGTATCTGATCCATTCCAGGATCTGCATCGCTCACTTTTTGGTATTTTTGGTTAACATGAGGTACACAGTGAGTGCACTGCAGCTGAGATCAGACAGCTTGTGTCTGTTAGAGCTAAAGGTTAGTGAAAACTGCAAATCTGCGTATGTGGAGGCTGACAAGTATCAGGCTTGGGCAGCCTAGCCTTTTAGGATTGCTGATGCGTAGTAAGAGCTGAGACACGGCTATTTTTGGGGTTTTTTGATTTATTTTTCTCTGAAACACTATACAGCACCTGTAAATTGCTTGTAAATAGAAAAAAGTAAACTCACCATTATTTGCCAAGACATTAATAGACTGGATCTGTGCCTAACCCAGGATCTCCAACCAGGGAGCATTACGCTTGCTAAACCTATCCCCAGCTTACATGTTTAACCAATTGCCTACCAGGCACTTTTACCCCCTTCCTGTCCAGGGAGGCCAAATTTCAGCTTTCAGTGTTGTCGCACTTTGACAATTGTGTGGTCATGCAACACTGTACCCAAACAAAATTTTAAAAATTTTTTTTAGATAAATAGAGCATGCGTTTGGTGGTATTTAATAACCATTGTTTTTTAGTTTTTGCTAAACAAACTAAATAAGACAAAATTTTGAAAAAAAAAAAAGTTTTTTCTTAGTTTCTGTTTATAAAATTTTGTAAATAAGTAATATTTCTCCCTCACTGATGTGTGCTAATGAGGCTGCAGTGATGGGCACTGATAGGCTGCACTGATGAGGAGGCACTGGTAGGTAGCACTGATGGCATTGACAGGCATCACTGATGGGTACTGAAAGGCAGCACTCATATATGGCACTGATGGGCAGCACTGATTGGAACTGATAGGCGACAGTGACTGGCACTGATAGTTGGCACTGAAAGGCAGCTCTGATTGGCACTGATATGTGGCATTGATGGGCACTGATGGGGCTACACTGATCATCAGGGCACTGATGATCAGTGTAGATGTTCCCTCTGAGGAATGCCGATTACTGGCTCTCCTCTCCTCACGCGCTGTCACTGTGAGGACAGGACTGCCGATAACCGGAATTACCTTGTTTACATGCAATCAGCTGTGATTGGACACAGCTGACCACATGACAGAGCCGACATCATCAGCTCTTTACTCTGATCAATGATCCACTGTGTCCCAGGGACACAGTGCACCACCGATCACCGCACACCCCCAGGGGCTCGCATGTGCCATTAAAGTGGGAGGATGTCATATGACCCCTTTTTGGAAAGCAGACACACCAAGGAATTTGCTGATAATTTACCATGGCCTCTCAACAAATAGCTTGGGGTATATACTTTCTGAAAAGTGGTCATGGGGGGTATTGTGCTATTCTGACATTTCAGAGCCTCTGAAACTGTGATAGGTAAAGGAAGTGGAATGAGGAAATTGCGTCTTTTGAAAGCCTGATGGTGGTCATTACTTTTCAACTAGGCTCCAAAAAAGTCTCACACATGTGGTATCCCCATAATCAACAGAAGCAGCAGAATGTATTTTGGGGTGCAATTCCACATATACCTATGGCATGTGTGAGCAATATATCATTTACTTTTTTTTATTTTTACACAAACTTGTCATTTAAATTATATATTGCTATACAACATCACCATCAGGCTTTCAAAGATCATAATTTCCTCATTTCACTTTCTTACTACGTATCACAGTTTCAGAGGCTCTGAAATGTCAGGATAGCACCCAAAATGGCCCCTTTTTGGAAAGTAGACACCCCAATCTATTTGCTGAGATTTGGTGAGTTCGTGGAAGATTTTATTTTTTTCCACAAATTTTTGGAAAATTACACTTTTTTTTTTTACACAAAATTGTGTAAAAAAATGAAATATTGCTCACACATGCCATGGGTATATGTGGAATAACATGCCAAAACACATTCTGCTACTTCTCCCAAGTATGGGGATACCACATGTGAGAGACTTTTTGGCAATCTAGCCACACACTGCTCCCCAAAATCCAATGACCACCTTCAGGAGGCCCTGAAATGCCAGGACAGTACAAACCCACTCCCAAATTAACCCATTTTGGACACCTAAAGGAATTGAATAAGAGGAATGGTGAGCATTTTGAAGATATAATTTTTTTTTCTCAAAAGGTTTTGAAAAATAAAAAAAAGAAAAGAAAAAATATATTTTCTCCTATCACTTTCCAGGACAGCACATCTGAGAGATGAGGAGCTCCTCCCTACAAGAAACACAATCAATTTACAGCTGTTATAAGTCTCCTCCCTTCCCCTTCCCCTCCAGTATTGATTGTGTTTCTCCCTACATCGGAACGTTTGTTGTTTTCTGTGACCAGAAGACCGGGGGAGGGTCGGATGATACCCCTGTGAGGCAGGCATAGGGAGGGCGGAACTAACCTGCAGGCTTGTTCCTTCTCACAGGCTGCCCCCACTTGACACCAGCGCTCCGGTCACAAGGGAGAGTAAACCGCAGTGTAAGGTCAAAAATGCTGCCCAGCTGCTGTCTCTTTCTCTCCCGCATGGTCTTCAGTACCCATTGGCTTGCAGAGGAACAGGAAAAGGAGGCGTACACTCCAAGCCTCACTCTGGCTCCACAGGATCCCCAGCCGAATGACCAGAAGTGGGTGCGGCCAGGAATACGGCGTGGCCCACAAGAAAGCTGAGAGATGCCGGAGGACATCGGGGACTGAGGACAGCAGGGCAGCTGGGAGCGGTCAGCTGATGGCATATGTTAAAGCCCTGCAGCTGGAGGGGATAGGAAGAGAGAGAAACTAAGCAATTGGTGTTCCTCTTCTCTCTTACAGAATCCCCTAGCAGTACCCAGGAGACCTCTGATAGACCGCCTTCTGTATTAGTGGGCTCTAGCTCCTCTAGGAAATGAGGTTATTGTGGAGAGAAGCTAGCTAAGTCCCACCCTAAACCATTTTGCGATAGATGCAATAACAAGCTGGAAGGGAAAGATGCTTCAAACTTGATGAAAGATTTCCTAGCATCTATGCTATCTAGGAGATGGTAGCCACTATCCAGTCTTTGCAAAACAGTGGCATGGCCGCAGGGCCCAGGTCCAGAGGAGTTAACAACAAAAACAGCAGACTCAAATACTCCTGTGCTTGGGGATGGACTCAATAAAGGTTATGACCACATTGCGGATGTCCTGGAATGTGCACTCCTTGCTGCCCGCAGAGGACCGGGGAAGTCCAAATGTACTGGGTAGAAAGAAAACAAACAAAGGGCACACCAGCATAGTGCATTACCTTAAAAAACATTTATTAAAGCAATAAAAGTATGTATTGTACTCACAAACGACAATTTTGTCAAAGGTACATCATGAAACAACAGCTCAGTCCAATCTGCACGTGTCTATCCACAATGGGAACCCTGGACTTCCAACAGGCTAACGCATTTCGAGGACTTGCCTCTTCCTCAGAGCCACTGGCACAGTAGTAATCCACCCACTGAACACCCCATGCCCCATGCTTGGTCCTATATATTTTTCTATCTTCGGATGAGAAATCACCTCCTGCAGTGCTGCACGTTTTTTATTTAAATCTGTGCCAAAAAAATGAAAAACATATATGATGCATAGGCGCGATCTGCCCACCGACCACACCAGGCCCCCATGCTTGGGCATATACCTTCTTTTTTTAACTGCAGATGAGAAGTCTCATCCAGCAGCGCTGCACTCACTGACATATATATTCTAAGAGCAACACCCAGTGGTTGTTGGAATAAACAGATCAGTGCCGCAGCTGAATGGTGTTCCTGCAAAGCAAACAACAACAGTTAAAGGATAAGTTCACCTTTGGGTGGAACATGTAACATGTTCCCAGTGCTGCAACCGCTGCCCCACCCCTCCCTGTGACAGAAGCACCGCGTGCTAACACTTTTTTAAAAACAGCCACATCATTCATTCACATTGTTCTGTGAATGAATGAACTACAAGTCTCAACTGCCTTAGTGGCTATTGGCTTGCACTTCTCAATGAACTACGATAGCGCTGTGGTAGTTCATTGAATCTTCCTGTCAGTATATCTGCTTGCTCATAGATTCCGTACAGGCAAGCAATATACTGACAGGTCTGCAAGAGACCTACATGGCAAAAATATGTGCCAAAGCAATGTATTAATCCACCCACTGACCACCCCATGCCCCATTCTTGGTCCTATATATTTTTTTGTTTATCTTTGGATGAGAAATCTCCTCCTGCAGTACTGCGCACACTATTGCTGTCAGAATAAACAGATCCGAGCTGCAGCTGATTGGCGTTCCTGCAAAGCAAACAATGGTTAACAATAAAACACAGTAGCAATAGAACATTAACTCAATGAAATAACTGTTTTGTGAATGAATAAACTACAAGTCTCAACCACCTTAGCGGCTATTGGCTTGTAGTACTCAATGAATGAGCGCCGTGGTAGTTCATTGAATCTCCCTGTCAGCATATATGTTTGATCATACATCCCGTATGGGCAAACCAAAAGAGACAAAGATTTTGCCTCGATCATGTGATCAGCTGTGTCCAATCACAGCTGAGCACATGTAAATAAGGGAAATGCTGGTTATCAGCATTTCTCTCCTCACAAGCTGTCACGCTGACAGCTCAAGAGGAGAGCCGGCAATCGGCATTCCTCAGAGGGGATGTGTACACTGATCACCAGAGCACTGATGATCAGTGTGCCCTGATGATCAGTGTAGCTCCAGCAGTGCCACCTGTCAGTGCCCATTAGTGCCACATATCAGTGCCTACCAATGCCACATATCAGTGCTCAGCTGCCTTTCAGTGTCACCTATCAGTGCCAGTCAGTGCCACCTATCAATGCCAGTCAGTGCCACCTACCAGTGTTGCCAATCAGTGCCAGTCAGTGCCGCCTATCAGTGCCTGTCAGTGCTGCCTATCAGTGCCACATAACATTGCTAGTCAGTGCCATCCAGTGCCGCCTATCAGTGCCATATATGAGTGCTGCCTTTCAGTGCCCATCAGTGCCTCCTCATCAGTGTCCATCAGTGCCCATCACTGCAACCACATAAGCGCATATCAGTGAAGGAGAAAAATCACTTCTTTACAAAATTTTGTAACAAAAACAAAGAAAAAACTTTTTTTTTCAAAATTTTCAGTTGTTTTTGGTTTGTTTAGCAAAAAAAAAAAAAACCCAGAGGTAAACACCACCAAAAAAAGCTCTGTTTAAAAAAAATGATAAAAATTTTGTATGGGTACAGTGTTGCATGACCGCACAATTGTCATTCAAAGTGCGACAGCACTGAAAGCTGGGAATTAGCCTGGGTAGTAAGGGGGTATAAGTGCCCAATAGGCTAGTGGTTACGTGGGGGGCAAAAACACAGCTCAACCATTAGGTTTGTCAACCCCTCTAACTGCACATCTAGTTGAAGCCTTGAGGCATAGTGGAAGAAAAAGTATACTATTCTGCAGGGGCGGACTGACCATTTGGAAACTCGGGCACTGCCCGGGGTCAGTAGGAGGCCCCATGATATGCCCCTGGTACCTTTTTCATAGGCTTTTTTGGGCGTGGTTTGAGTGTGGGCAAGGACACAGGGGCCCCATGATCCCCTATTGCCCGGGGGCCCCATGAGATGTCAGTCCGCCTCTGCTATCCTGTATTTTCCCCATGGCAAATGCACTGCAACACAATGAACGTAACAGTCCAAAGAAAGAAGAAGGCAGTGACCTCATAGAGAACAACCAATGGCGAGACCTGCACCACCTGCAGGGAAATGTGCATGAAAAGACGTGCAGTCTTTTCCGCTGTGCCTGGCCCATTACTCTGCCAGAGCAGGCAGTCTACGTAGTGTTTACTATCTCGTTCACTACAAGGACTACTATGTCATGCAGCCAGCACTGTATGCCTGCTCCCCCACAGCACACACACAATTATCCGAAAACGAGGGCTCTCCACTGGAATGTAAACAACCGGCCACTCAATGGTTAACATGACGTCAGAGGCTCCGTGCACCCAGGCACGATCTCCATCCTCGGACTACAGCTCTCCTTCCATAACAACTACAACTCCCATGAATAGGCGGGGCACTGCGCATGCGCCCCACCTGAGCTCCGCTGCCAGCGATGACAAGAAGGACTACACCTCCCAGGCGGCTTAGCACTGCGCTCATGCGTCGTAGCACAGGTCGGGCCATTTAAAAGTCGTCGTTAGGGGAAATGGCCGCGCAGCTTGGTACGTTCGCTGAAGAGAGGGACAAAGCCAAAGCAGGTCGTAAGAAGAAGCGGAGGGAAGGCTCACCTTGCTCGGAGAAGAAGAGGAAGAAGAAGAGCGAGCTGGATGGCGGGGACGGGCCGAACGAGAAGGAGGCCAAGAAGAGGAAGCTGGCCAATGAGCCCCACCACAGCTGTCATCATCACCACCACCATCATCACCACAAACACCACCATCACCACCATGGCAAGGAGGAATTACCTGCCCCCGGCCTGACACACAGCGCCATCCCTGTCCCTGCCATCACCCACATGGACAGGCCCCGGGACAAGAGCAAGAAGAAGCACCGCACCAAGAAGAAGGAGAATGGAGGCGGGGAGACCCCCTTAAGGATTGTCAAGAAAGGTCAGAGGGGAGGACTGGGCACGGGAGGAGGGAGGGTGTACCTGTGTGTGTGATAGAGACAGGTAGGGGGTGTGCGAGGGGTGTGTGTGTGAGATACAGAGATCAGGGATATATATATATATATATATATATATATATATATATATATAAAATTTTACAGGCACTCATGTAGCATCCATGTACACAGATTTAGTGTGTGTATATATATATGTATGTATGTATGTATATATATGTATGTATATGTATATATATATATATATATATATATATATATATATATATATATACCATATCTGTGTAAATCGATCCTACATAAGTGCCTGTAAAATTTAATTTATATATGTATATAAAAGTATGTTTGTTTGTTTTTTTTTTCTCACACACACAGTTATCTTGGGTACCAGGTGTGAAGGGGGTGTGTCTATAAATATGGGGTGCTGTATGGGATATAAATATGGGGTGCTGTCTGAATTGGATGTGTATATACAGATGGGGTGCTATGTCTGTCTGTGAATGGGGTGTATGCATATCAATTTGGGATGCCGGGGGGGGGGTGTAAGAATGTGGGGGGTGTTTATAAGTTTGGTGCGCTGTGTGAAGTGGGAGTGTGCATGTCAATTTGGGATGGGGGGTGTGTTTATAAATTTGGGGTGCCATGTTGGGGGGGTGTGTGTATATGAATTTGGGATGCAGAGTGCATGATTGTCAATTTGGGATGCCTGGTGTGGGTGAAGGGGGTGTGTGTGTGTTTATAAATTTGGGGTGCTGTGTGAAGGGGTTGTGTAGATCAATTTGGGGTGCTGTGTGTGTATCAGTGAGGTGCTGTGAGAAGTGTTTAATTATTTATAATATAGGCATGACCAAAAATATTGACACCCCTGCATTTCTGCACCACTTCACCCAGAAAAGTGTTGCAATTACAAATGCTTAGGCTTTCTCATGTTTGCATTGGTATGGCACGAGAAAAAAAAGTCAAATCCTGACATTATTCTAAATCCGACACCTAAGTCAGGTGTATTGCAGGTGTTCCCAGATGTTCGATAAATGCACAAATCGGATACATCTATATATTTGTCTTACCCACCAAAGGATTTGTAGTTCTGTACAGCCAGTCTCGTGATTTACGCACATTGGACAGGTTACCGATTTTAAAGCATAAACGCCAACAATAAACTTCTTGTTTTGCTCCGTTTTATTTGGTCTGTTCACCTTTGGAACATGTTATACTGTATGTTTCACTCATATTTTAAGATGGAAAATGTAACAAGTTCCGGATCCTGTCCCCGCATCTGTTGTCACAGTTCAAATACCACACAACTGCATCATTCATTCAAAGTTCTGTGAATGAATGAACTACAACTACCGTCGGCCTCCACAGTTGACTACATATAGTTCTCAATGAAATAAGAGGGCAGCTGTTGTCATTGCTTTCTTCACTGAAGCTGGCTGCTGGGTAGATCACGTGACCAGACCGGAGCACCTTTAAATTAAGAAAGTATACACATCTTTCCTTTACAGGTTACTTCCATTGGGAGTGGAGAGTAGATTTTTGCTTGGTTAGCTTTTGCCAGGAATTCTACTTTAAAATATAATTCAAGGCAAAACTCTTTATTTTTGGGCAGAGTTGAAAGAGATAAGAACAACTACTAGTTTTTTTTTTTTTTTTTTTGCTGTTTGTGCCCCCAACAGGGGGATTCACCCTCTCTACTTGCGCTGTTTACTGTTCTCACTGAAACTAAAAGAAAATCACAAAATTTGCATTGTCCAGAAAAGTAATAAACGGGGACACTAGTTCTGGTGAACTGAAAGCCCTCATGGGGAGGGGGCACATGGCCCAAAAAGTTTGCATTGAGCCAGCCATATATTATTATTATAGAGTGTTTAGCGCCAAAAACGTTGCTCAGTGCTGTACAATATAGTGGGGGACAGTACATGAGACAATACAGTAACAAAACAATACACTAGGGGTTCAAGGGCCCTGCTCTTTCAAGCTTACAATCTAGGAGGGAGGGGCTAGTGGTACAGGAGGAAGTGGCTGTGGGGAATGAAGTGGTGGGAGGAGTGGAGGAGATTGGCTATTAGGTGAGGGTGGGGTAGGCTTCCCTAAAGAGATGGGTTTTCAGGGTGCGCCTAAAGGTGAGGAGGGTTAGGTGACAGTCTGATGGATTGGGGTAGTGAGTTCCAGAGGATGGGGGAAGTGCTAGAGAAGTCCTGCAGTCCGGTGTGGGAGGAGGAGACCAGGAAGCTAGAAAGTAGGAGGTCTTGTGAGGAGCGAAGAGTACGGGTTAGGTGGTATTTCGGTATCCGGTCGGCAAGGTAGTTTGGGGCAATGTTATGAACAGTTTTGTATGTCAATGTTAGTAGTTTGAATTTAATGCGTTGGGCAATTGGAAGCCACTGGAGGGAATGACGGAGGGGGGTGGCGGATATGGAGCGGTTGGTAAGGTGGATGAGTCTGGCCGCAGAATTCAGGATAGACTGAAGCGGAGATAGTCTGTGGTGAGGTAGGCCGGTGAGAAGGGAGTTGCAGTAGTCCAGCACGGGCTGGGGGGAAAACTAGGAGCTCGGTTTTGGAAAGGTTTAATTTGAGGAAGTGGAGTGGCATCCAATCTGATATGTCGTTCAGTAGGTGGGTGATTCAGGCGGAGACTGAAGAGATGAGGGGTAGAGAGGTAGATTTGCGTGTCACCGGCGTAGAGCTGGTAGTTGAAGCCGTGGGAGTGTATCAGTTGGCCAAGGGAGGAGGTGTAGATGGAGAAGAGGAGGGGCCCGAGGACAGAACCTTGGGGGACCCCAACAGAGAGGGGGAGGTGGCAGCGTTATAGGTAACACTGAAGGAGCATTGGGATAGGTAGGAGAGCCAGGAGAGAGCGGAGTCTCTGATGCCAAGAGTATATATAGATATATATATATCTATATCTCAAAATTTGGCCAGTTCAATACATGTATGGGCAGGCTCATTGTACCAAAGTCAGTCAACTTGGGTACTACTGGCCTGTCTGATTTTTTTTAATTAATTTATTTATTTTTATACAATTACTGCCAGTGGCTATAGCCAATAGCAGGAATTATTGTGTTCTGCTGTCCGGAAAAGAAAATCAACCCCTTTTGCAGGCCATAGACAGGTCGTTTTATCGGCCGAATTTTCGTCCGCATGAAAAATCGTCCGATATTCACACTATTAGTGGGGCCAGCCCATCGGCCGTTTTTCACGGATCTCCTCATTTATTTTTATCGGTCGTGCTGGAAAATCCACGAAAAACAGCTGTTTTTCGTGGACATTGGTGGCAGTATTGGCAACGGGGCCGACCAATTTTTTTTTTTTTTTTTGGCCAAC